GTGGTAGACTTGGTTTTAGAGTCTATATCAAAAATAAGAGCCAAATATGGCATCAAATTTTATGAGTTAACAACCTTCGATGGTTATCTCCTAAACACAGAAATGTATAGTAGTAAGACAGAAAACGAAGAAATTGAAACGAATTTAGATTCTCTAGTTCTGAGGTTGATGAAGCCATACATTATGAAGAGACATGAACTGTTTATGGACAATTTCTACAATAGTTATAGGCTCTCTGAGAAATTACTTGATCTAAAAACCCATACTAATGGAACCCTACGATCTAACCGTAAAGGAAATTACTGCAAATTGGTCCAGAAGAAGCTGAAGAGAGGAGAACATTTTTGGGTCCGCCGAAAACAAGTTTACGTTTTCAAATGGCGTGATAAAGGCGACGTTTTAGTAAGACTCGAAATAATCCCCGCATGATGGTAGTAAAAAATAAATATGCCAAAGAGCAGATGAAGCTTAAAGAAGTTGCGGAATACAACAAATACATGTCAGGCATTGATAGATGTGACCAAATGACATCAACATATTCGACTCTCAGGAAAATTATTCGTTGGTATAAAAATGTAATATTTTATATGCTGAATATTACTGTTTTTAATGCTTTTTATCTCTACAATTAATATTGCAAAAATAATTCTAAACCCTGCACGGTAACAGTTATCATTTCAAAAAGACATTTTTCAGCTAATCGAAAACATCAAATATCCAGTGCAATCAGATTCTGGCCAACAAGACCTTTCAAAAGTGACTGCAAGATCGTAATACACTTCATTTGATCTAGGATACAAATAACAGCAAACCACTCACCTACAAGATCTTACACCTGATGCATATCCCACATATCCAAATACCAATTCGCAGCAAACCACTCACCTACAAAATCTTGCACCTTCGCAGTCTTCATACTCGCAATGTTAAGGTTAAATGTATTTTTAATATTTTATATTCGTCCTTACCTTAATATAATCAATAAACGTTCTTCAGTAGAAATAGACTCCCTGAATTTCGGGTCCTCCTTTTGTAATCTTGGACCAACCAGTTCCAATAGTAATTTTAATGTATTAGGTAACATTCTATAATACGATTGGTATTTTTCTTCATCATTCACTAACTGTTTTGTTATCTCAAAATGTCCTCTTGTAGAGCAACCATCATTGTAGGGATGGAACCCAGTAGCGACGTTTTTTGCGGTTTCGTCTTAATATTTGCCACATCATAAAATCATTATCATCAGAAGACGACCACATGGTACAAATGCTTTACAACGAAACCTGGTGTGCGTGCTCGTACCGCATTTGTGGGAGTTTTTTTTAATGTTGAACGATAAAAGTAGAAACGCATTTGTGGCGCAACGATTGTACCTTAGGTCTGCGGCCTACCTAATTGTTATAGTGTCATGTCTAACCGATTTATATAATAGATATGCATTTACTACTGACGTTGCCAAAAGAAGTTCTATGCCCACCTTGCGGAACCACTTTAGTGACTTTTTTAAAGAATTACAATAGGAGCCCATTTGATATGATAGATCTACAGAGCCTTTTTCATTATTTTAATCAACAACAGCTTGTTGTTTAGGTTTAGTTCCTCTGCGGCGAACAACATGAACCATCGTTGCATCATGTTTTGTAGATAACACTAATACATTTCTGTTATACCTCCAGTTTAGCACACAGATACCACTCTCATTCTGTTGTTCGTATACTTCTCCTACTTTAAGTTTTGCTTCAAGTACCTTTTTTGACAATCATTTGCGATTTTTTCTAAGCGTCCCAATGTTTGCATCTATCATATTGTGGGCTAAATCAATACTGCTATACCAATTGTCAGTAATAATTGTTGTTCCTCTATATAAAATATCATTTGTAAGAGGCATAACTACTCCCAATGGAGTTGTCATATTTGTTCCATCTAATGTTATTTTTCCCGTATATATCATAAGAGAATAAGTGTATCCTTTGCCACAACATAGGTTAAATATTTTTACTTCATATTTGTGGCGTTAGAGTTTCATATACTGTCTTATGGAAAGCCTACCCCTAAATGGTGGTGGAAGTGTCTCATCAACGCACACATACTCATCTGGAGTATATAAAGACTTATAATTTTTTACTAATGCTTGTACTAATGGATTTATTTTATACAATCTGTCAGTATGTCTAGCAGCACTGTTATTGTCAGCGAAATGAATCATTCTAAGAAGTATTTCGAAACGATTACAGCTCATGCTCTTTCTAGGAAATTCCAAGTTGTACAATTCATTGGTACTCCAGTAATCACCTAACTGTGGTAATTTTACCAAACCCATATATAAAATGAGACCTAAAAATGAAGCCGCGATAATGGTTCAACATCAGCATTCGAAGTTAGTACCTGGGTTGCAATTAGATTGGTATGTTTCACAATAAGCGATATTATTTTATCATCGACGATGGATTCATATAATTCGCCTGCTGTTGCGTTAGATAACAATGCAGCAACCTCTGGTTTTATTCCTGAAGGTTCAGTAAACTTCATAACACCTGGCAAGGACGCCTCAGAAATCGGACCCCAAGTAGCGGCATTTCTTTCTCTCTTGCACATTTTTTTTAATGTTTCTTTCTTCCTCTTCTATTACCTCTGTATCATTTTGAACTGACTGATTATTTTCGATGTTTCGACATCTCTTTTTTATTATCTCTCTATTGCTTTCTACTTCTTCAATATCATTTTCGATATTTAGTAAATTATTTTCATCGAAAATACTGCTCTTTTTGATTGAAATAGAATCATGATCTGAAGAAGGTATATACCAAGGATCGGCATCAGAGTCATCACAAGGTCCATCTAAGGAATCGCTACTTACAAGTTTGTCAGCTAAAAGCTGTAGCTCGAATTTGTTCAAATATTTCTTAGACATCAAAAAAATTTACATTACAAGTTATTACACCAAAAATTATTGAATTATCGTGTTACCTTTACAATATCAAAAACAAAAAATTATAATTATCACATCAAATACTCAAGCTATCACAAATTATGACATATTATGAGGTTAGAGTTTGTTCTATTTTGCCGCCAGAGTAAAATTTGCGCGTCACGGAGCACGTGCTTGGGAGCAACGGCGTAGGCATATATTTCTATCTTCTGTGGGCAACGTTGGTTCCATGGGATTAGCACAAAAAATATTTGTTTAAAAAAAAACAAGCAATATGTGTTATTATAATAAATTGCAGGCGTCATATTTCTTTACTATACAGGGTGTAAAAAAAAAAGTGTCACAAAATAAAACGGGGGGTAGTATGGGCCAAAATATTCAGAAAAGTCTTAATAAACATATGTCCGCAAATGAATGGTTTCAGAGATACGGAGTGTTTTGTGTTTTGTATCATTTTTTTATTATCTTTTTTCATTCTCAAAAACTTGCTTTTCTTATCGGAATCTACCGATGTTTTTTCATAGATACTATTTGCAGTTATTATTTGGTTGTGGGTAAATAATTTTATAAATTTTCGTTATGCCTGTTTACACTAATATTGAATTAGCTGACATGCATTTTATGTACGGTCGTGCAAATGGCAATGCGAGGGAAGCGCTACGTCAGTATATCGACGCTTTCCCTAATCGTCACATCCCTTCAGTTCGTGTGTTTGAAAGATTGCACGAAAGATTGCGTGATACAGGTAAATTTGGGAAACAGTCACATGATTCCGGGAGACCAAGGTCGGTGTCCACCCCTGAGGCAGAAGAAGCAATTTTAGCGCGAGTAGAAGAGAATCCAGAAACTAGTGTGCGAAGAATATCAGCGGAGGTAGGAATTGGGGCTCCTCTGGTTTGGAGAATCCTCCAAGAGCAGCAGCTTTACCCGTACCATCTTCAACGAGTGCAAGCTCTGAATGCACCTGATTATCAAGCACGTTTGGAGTTTTGTCGATGGTTTCTGAGAAATGATGCTGAGGATCCCAATTTTATTGCATTAATTCTTTTTACTGATAAGGCAGGGTTTACACGAAATGGAGTTTTTAATTTCCATAATTTGCATATGTGGGCCGACGAAAATCCCCATAGTATCGTGGAATCTAGGCATCAAGATCGTTTTTCATTAAACATTTGGATGAGTATTTATGGCGACTGGTTACTAGGTCCGATTGTACTACCTAACCGATTAACGGGAGCTGACTACTTAAACTTTTTGCAGAACACATTGGGTGATCTTTTAGATGACATTCCTTTAATACAAAGAAATCAAATGTGGTTCCAGCACGATGGTGCTCCGGCGCATTTTTCAGTTGCCGTAAGAGAACATTTAGATGGATCCTTTGGTCGAAGATGTGCCATGGCCTGCAAGATCGCCTGATTTAAATCCGCTTGACTTTTTTCTTTGGGGACACTTAAAAAATTTAGTGTACGCCACTCCTGTGAATAACCTATAAGAGCTGCAGCAACGAATAGAGCAGGGATGTCATTGAATCCTAGCCAATGAGGGTGTTTTGGAAAGAGTCCGACACTCCTTTCGGAGGAGATGTCGTAGCTGCATTGAAATGGAGGGAGCGCACTTTGAACATCTCATTTAACTCTATGTTGTTATTGATTGTTTATAAATATCATTGTTTTTTTATAATAAAAAATTGTTATAAACACAAAATGGTCCGTATCTCCGAAACGGTTAATTTGCGGTCATATATTTATTAAGACTTTTCTGCTTATTTTGGGTCGTACTATTCACCATTTCATTTTGTGACACTTTTTTTTAACACCCTATATATATGGTTCCCTCAACGGCCCACACAGAAAAAATACAAAATTATTCCTGGCCGAATACGTGTTAACACTTTAAAATATCAAAGCGTTTTGACAGGTAGTTCCATAGACAGCACGTTACAGGAACACCATCTGGTGTTTATTAAAATAGTACACTCACTGGGATTTAAGTCGGTAACTCTACGTCTAAGGAACAGTAATGGTTTACTTAAACTCCTATATAAATTAATTTATTTAATTTTTTAATACCAATTTACATTTCAAAAAAGCTCTTATTAAACTCAAAGTATTACTTTTTAGCCATTTTGATATTCACACAGTGCTTATAAAATTCTAAATCTACTTGCTCATAAGTATTTTTGAGTAGTCTTATTTAATATTACTATAAAAGAGATCAAAAACAGTCTTAAAATGCCTTATGGTATGTTCAAAATTAAGTAGTTAAATCGAACTGAATAATAACGATCAAATAAGTTAAGGTAGCCGAAAACAGTGACGACAAGACTTTCTGATTTACTATTATAAATCCGCCTGCAGAATACTGGGGCAGTAAAGGCCTACTTAGCTTCGCAAATCTTAGAATTTCGTTTTCTAATTGCGTCCCCTTCAGGGTTTCTTGGCTGGTATAGCAACACATCAGGATTTGTTCTGCACTAGTTTGGACGTCGTCACAAGATTTTACTATGGCGATCGTTGAAATCTGAAAATAAATAAATAATTTATATATTAATACTATTTGAATTAGGTTTGTTTTTATTTTGATTAGAAATCTGTTCCAATTTATTATCGAATATCCTCTTATGAGCAATGATCAATCAATAAAAAGAGATGATCAATAATTGATAAGCAATAAGCGATATAGTAGATCAATAAAAGATTGTTAATGTAGATACCAAAGATATCTTGCTATTACGGGTTGAAAGTAATTTAAGTTTAAAAGTACATTTAAGTAATGTTTGTTATGATTTTGTGCAATTTTAACTAACTATTCAATTTTAATTTTAAAAGAGAAAATCTTCTGGTAATTACTTGCCTTAATAAATAAAACTAATTAAACTTAATTTCAACATTTATTTAATTTTTGTTATTATTACCATAACCTAGTCTCTGTACAATAATGCAGTCTTTCGAGATTCTTCTTCATTTTCGTTTCTTCTTTTTCCTTCAGGCCTCGTCCTAAAGGAAAGGTCAATATCTACTTTCCTATTGGTCATGAATTACTCCATTCTGTCGTAAGATTAACTGTCTCTTTTCACTATCTCTTTCTTTTTTTTTTTTGGCTACTGAATTGGACCATGTGCTTCCCTATTTCTCGATGAATTTTCGGATTAAATTAGCCCTAAAAGAAAGATCACTTCATTAGTTTTGAAAAAAAGTAATAAACAGAGTTGCTAATACACTTGGTGGATAAAATATACTTTTTTTTTTCTAAAACTAATCTACTTCTAAGTCACTCACCACGCATGGTAAGTTTCCTCAACCAAAATTCATGATCATTAATAAAGGAAGTAAATAATTATAATCTATTGTTTTAGGCTTTTCTGTACAGGTAGTACTTATTCTTATGGTAACCTGTGAATTTATTTGGAGTACCTTATTGCTTAATAGTTTCTTTCTTTGCTTCTTAGCTTCCTGCATGGCTTCTGACCTTTCTGCTTAGCCTTATAGCCAAATAGCTTGCCTCCCAATATACCTGCGAAGCTTGGGATTGTTATAAAATACCTGGAACCACTTTAATAGGAAGACAAAAATTGGTAATAAAGAATAATACTTCCAAAGACGCTACTGGACTCAATCATAATAAAAGTAAGAACTTTCCATTGTTTAAATTATTGTCGCCAAGGGGATACATATTTTGAAACATATGCTGAATCAGGAAATAGAAAATATATGAAAGAAAAACGTCACAATATTATATTGTTTTAAATAAAATTTTACTTACCCTATGTAAACGATTAGTACTAATCGGGTTTCAAAAATCAAGTTGTACAATTCATTACTTAGCCTTTATCTTCTTCGTATCCTGGCGATATATAAACAAATTATATTACTTTTATATTTACCTAAAAATACAACATTCTACCAATATTTGTCGAATATTATGAACCCACTAGTCCTCGTTTTCTCCTAGAGGAATGGTAGTAACATGAGAGCTCTCTTTTTAAGAGTTTATTGATATTGGTGAAAGAAATCCTATGACGTCAAAAAGGGGCAATCTACAATTGACAAGAAAAGACCAAGACAAGAAAAGAAAAGAGACGTGTGCTTCTAATATCGAACAAATGTTTGAGAGGAATAGGGGAAATATGTGGGACTTACTTCAGATCAACAAGCACCGTTAGAAAAGAAGGTTCAGTTAGAGTTTGAAACAGTTTAAGTACTGCTCGCGATGAACCCAGATGATATAAAAAAATCACTCAATAAGCGATGGAAGATGTGTCTAGTTGAATTTACCATATATAGACAGTGTTATTGATTGTGTTATCACGAGCAGATGATATCTGCTTTACAATAATTAGATTGTAACGATAATAAATACCGTTACTAATTCTACGCCACTAGTTTCTCAAATATATTTCGAAGCGGCTATCCAACGAGTCATGCGTTACCTTTCATTTTAATAAGCGACAGAGATGGTATCCCTTTCCACCACCAAGATGTATAAAAGGAGAAGCAATCAAGCAAAATGCTCTCTGTAGCCAAACATGCTGACCAGCTAAATACTTGACCGCAAAATCTGTGTAGAAAATAAAGCAGAAAAATAAAACAAAATTTTTAGTTTTTAAACATCCTACTTCTCAAAGAACCTCCTAGATCTCTTAACTCTTTAATGTATATCTCCTGGAAGTCAGGCTTGCTCAACAGACCGAAGTTTGGGAGTACCAATTCAACTCGACTCCAAGAGCTGGACGGAAGTAAGGACTGCACTAACAGAACAGCAGATCACAATTGTAAAGGCACTGTTTAGAAACAACGAAGTAATAATATGGCTAATAACTAGGGTTGTAACGGAGGCCTTCTTAGCGCAGGCGGAGGCGGAGGCGGAGGCGGATGCGGAGGCGATGAGTTTCGCCTCCGCGGATGCGGATATGGAAAAATATTAATTTATGGTTTATCAAAAGTAAAAAATCTTTATTTTAAATAGGTTCATTGTTAGTACACTTTAATAAACATCAAAACTAGCAATCAAAATAACTAGTAATCAAAATTAAGGCGAGGCAAATTATATTTTACAAATAACAGTTTTTCGGCTTTGTCACCTTCCAGGCGATTTCTAAGAGGATCATAAATTAAGCCAGCTGAACTAAATAATTGTTCACTTGGCACTAAACTGGGCGGCGCCGATAAATACGTGCGAACGATGGGAAAAAAGCTTTATATTTAGTAGTATTTCTCCACCACAATAAAGGGTCATTATCTAAATTAGTCGGTTTTCTTTATTATATTCACTAATTAGCTCACGCGTTTTTGACCGATTGAAATAAATACCTCTCCGTTAACTCCGCAAATATTTGACGGAGGCGGAAGCGGAGGCGAAGGTACGATTTCTTGCCGAACTTCCGCAGTAACGGGGACGAAGGCGAAATCCGTTACAACCCTACTAATAGCCTTAGATGACTACAGGAAAACCACTGCCTATCTAGGAACACACGCAGATAAACGAAATCTTCGAAGAACTCACCGATTTTGGACTAAATGAATGATTTCAATGAGAGACAAAAGGAAACTCCTGATGTTTCTCATTGATATCAAACCATAAGAATCACTTTAATTTTGTGTTACAATTATTGCGGTTTTATTGCATCATAGATATTTAAAAACGAAACATATTTATCGGAAAAAAACCAAAATACTTACGATGTAAATAGCTCCATATGCCAAATCCACCGCTAAGACAGACCACATCTGATCTTGTTTAATGAAGTTAATTATATTTAGAATTTCTAGCACGGTACAGCAAAGTACAAAAAATATCTGCCAACCAAAGAGGATATTAATGTAAGAAACCAATTGGAACAGCAGTTTGAAAACGTAATAAATTTGATCCAAGTTCAGAGTCTTTTTGTCCAATTCGAGCGAGCCTACGTTCAGTTTGTCTCTTCTGATGATGTTCTCCAGGCACTGTTTCAAAAATTTGTATCTGAAACAATTCATTGATATTTAAATGCTAACAGCCAGTTTTTCAAATGAAAATTATAGTTCATATTAGTTAATTACATATTAACTATAATTAACAATTAGTGAATGTTAGCAAAATTTAATCAACAATTAGCTAATTTAGAATTAGCCATTTTTTTCTACAGGTTGGTAATACATTTAATATATTTTATGGATTTTGAACAGAAAAAGAAGAAAATTCTAACCTTTTTAAACATAAATTTCTGCAAAATCCTTCGAATCGCTACTTTTACGTTTGCCGTTTATGCTATAAATACAGTTATTTACATTGTATAATACAAGTGGATATTTATATAAATACACTATCACTAATTAGCGGAAAGGTTCTTACATTTATGGAGAGGTATGTTAGTTCAGAATATTAATTTGTACACAAAATTTTATATAAAATAATTTTTAGAAAAAAGGAAAAACGCGAACGAGCAGCAAATGTTACGTCAGACGATGATCACATTCTTGTTTCACTGGTTGAGAAATATAAAAAAGTAATAGAGTGTAAAAAAACCGGATCTATCACATGGAAACAGAAAGAACAAGTATGGAAAAAAATTGAAAGCGAATTTAGTAGCCAAACATTAAATGGACCAAAGTCTTCAAAACAACTGAAAATCAAATACACAAATTTAAAACAACAAATAAAAAAGAAATATGCTGAGCATCATAGAAATATTTTGAAGACTGGAGGTGGGACATCTGAAGATGTTAACTTTACTGATATAGATTTGTCTGTTAAAGAGTTAATATCTAGTCAAGTTGTAGGTCTATCGAATGATGTTGACTCGGACAGTGTTCAAAGAGGTTAGTATAATTCAAATATCTTTAAAGACATATTTGATGAATATTTTGTAGATATTATAGATAAACTGAAAGATGGCGGAGAAAATATAATAATTTCGACTGAAGAAGCTTCTAATGAATTTGAAGACCCTTTTATAGATTTTGCAAATTCAGAGTTAGATACAAATACTGAAGAGCTTCCTAATTGGTTTTCATATTGCAGTGACATGTTGAAAAATCCTGTATCTGAAAAATTAAAATCAACAAACATGCAGACTAAAGAAGAATATATATTTGATGAATATCAAACTCCTAGTAAGAAGAATGAGAAAGGCAACACATATGTACCAGTAACAAATATTTTAAACAATAAAGAAAACACTATAGAGATATCCTCTGGAACATCAAAAACACTGACAAAACCAAAAGAGTATTCTACTAAATATTTACATATTCAAGAAAGGTTAATTCTTAAAAAAATTGATTTTATTGAATTCCAGAAGCAGAAGTGTTTGGAAGAATACAATGAAAAAATTAATTTTATTAATTTACAAAAAGAAAAAATTCATGGTGAATATGAACAAAAAAACAAACTGTTTGAAAAAGATCTTCTTTTGAAAGAAAAATCTCTCCAAGAATATGAACCGAGGATTGAATTACTAAAAAAAGAAATATTGTTAAAAGAGAAACAGCTAAGAATAAATTTAAAAGACTTATAAATATGTATAAGACAGTTCATTATTTTTGGTTTTATAGAAATAAAATGTTTTGAAATAAAAATGATTTTTAAATACTTTATTTACAATCTAGAGAAGTGATTATTTATAAAATTGTATCTGGTTCTTTCATCAAATCTTATTCTTCTTTGAATGTAATGGATCTCTGGCATATTATTTACAAAATATACTGCTGCTTCTTGATGTTCATTTAGGGGAGGGATAGGATCTCTTTCTTGGATAGCAATATTATGAAGAATAGCTGTAGCTACTGTCACTTCCTGTATAGTATTAATGTTTAATCTAAGTCCCATAGCCAAAGCAGGAAATCTGCGCTTCCAAACTCCGTACTGCCTTTCAACTACGTTTCTGGTTCTAATTTGAGACTCATTATATAATGCTTCTGCTTCATTTCTAGTTTCCAGTAATGGTGTTAGAAGATAATTTTTTATGGCATAACCACTGTCGCCAATAATAGTATTATTTCCAAAGTGACCATTTTCAAATAAATTATGGATATGAGAATTTCTAAAAATATATGAGTCATGTGTTGAACCTGGCCACCTAGCTACTATATCTTGAATTTCTAAATCTGCGTTGCTAATTGTTTGGACATTTAATGAAAAATATTTTTTACGGTTACGAAATAGTTCAGCGTTATCCCCACCAGGAGACTGAATGCGTATGTGTGTACAATCAATTGCGCCAATACATCCAGGGAATCTGGCCAATCTATAAAACTTCTCACGGCATTCTTCTATTTCGTCTCGGGTCTGTGGCATTTGAATGTACCTAGGGCGAAGGGTACAAATTGCTCTTGCCACTCGTTTAATTGTTTTACAGGCAGTTGACTTACTAACACCGCAAAAATCTCCAGCTATTTTTAAGAAGGAACCATTTGACACAAAACTCAAAAATAGTAATACGTGATGTAGAGGTGTTAGTGCATCATTTCTAAAAACAATTCTTTATAGGTATGTAAAAAAAAATGAACGATTGAAGTCAAATTCAAATGGAGGCAATTAAGTTTACAGGATAATCGTCACCAACCTCCAGTCCCGATTTTAGTCGGATGTGTTAAATTCTTACATGCCAAATCAAAGGGTATTTATAACACTGATATTAAATATCCGGATGAACATATAGCCTTAGACGTAGTTTTTTGTGTCATAAAGCGGCCGTACAATTCCCGACTAAAATTCGAGGTTTAAGGTAGGTGACAATCATCCTGTATTTATGTAATTTAAATTCCTCTAATTCTGACTATGGATAAAAATTCTATACCCATTGGTAGGATAAGAAAGAACACCTGCTAGATCATCAGAGATATTTTCCACAGTTTGTTTGTTAAGTCTGAATCTATCAATAAAGTCTTTATTGTCATATTCCTCAAAAAAGTTTGGTCGTGGACGTATAATTTTGGCTCTTCGAGGCTCTTCGTCGCTGGAGTAAGCATTTACATCAAAAAAATCGTAATCCATTATTATTTTGGATATGTAAATTTAGAGAAATGTCAATGAGAAGGGGTTATTATATTTGACATTTAAAGTGAACATTAGGCTCTTAATACACACATTGTCTTCAAATTAACTAATATCAACTTTAATTGCAAATTACTTTCTAATTTTAACTTGAAAAATGGTTATTTTACCTTAATTCTCAATTAATACCTAATAACCACTTTAATGTTGAGTTGAAAAACTGGCTGTATGATTACAGTAATTTGGTTCTAAAAAAAAGGTTACTTGGAAAGTTTACTGGGAGCTTTGAAAATAAATAATTTTATAGATTTTCATGTGTTTTTTCCGAATTTTAAGTATTCCACCTCGCATCTTTACCACTCGCGCCGCCATATTAGATAAATGGCGCCTAAAAGCAATTTTTTGACAATATCTCCACTTCAAATCATTTTACGATAAAAAACATTTATATACAAAATGAAACTAGAGAACATTTCGACAATTTATGTAACCTTTTTTTTTTTTTTTTTTCGTTAAATCAATAGTTTTGGTGTAAGAGCGCTGCAAAGTATAGTTCGACACGCGTTTTGACTAAACAACTTATTTGAACACCACCTAGAGAATATCGCGTTTTTTATCACGGTATTTTAAAATTTATCGCATTCCCCTTCGTTTCGCTGTTCTTGATGGACCAAGTGTTGCGAGTTCATTGCTTTAGTACCAATCAACACGTCACAGATAAAAATTTCTTCCAAATCCATCGCATATGCAAAATCAGCACATTAAAGTAAATTTAATATTGCGTCACTACTACCAACAGAAGCAGCAAAACGAAAACATACGTTTCTAACATATCACCAAGTTTAACAGTGATTTGGAAAAATATCAATACAGAGCAATTGGAATAAAAAAGAAACAAAAATGGGTTAATTTATGTCACCATACTCGAGCCTTTCAGCTCCGGAAAGCTCATTAAAACTTATTTCTTGGAAATGTTAATAGACCTGCTAGTTCTCTAGCATTTTTCCTATTAAGGCTTAGTAGATGCCCGGTGAGTTTATGCGATGGCCCTCTTAAGAACTCTTAGGCCTGTCTTTGTTCTGGAGAGTTTTTCTACCACTTCTGAGATTTTTTATACATCCACTGCTTTGTGCATGTTCTGATAGTTGTTTTTGTGACACCACAAAAGGATTCTGGGCCAATAAGAGCATTTGAGGCTCCTTCTCGGGATAGTAAATCAGCCTCTTTATTGCCCTTATGTCCTCTGTGGCCTGGTACCCAGGCTAAGGTTAGTTTGTTTTGACTACCCAGCTCTGTTAAGGCTTTAAAACAGTCCCACACAAGCTTTGAGTGTACCTGCATGGAACTAAGTGCCTTTGACTTCCCTTGACAGTGTGATTATATGACAATGGTTTTTTTCATTAACCTTTTGTCTAAATACCTCTTTTGTGCAGTAATGTATTGCTGCTATTTTTACCTAAAATACTATCGAATGTTTACCCAAGCTCAGTGAGATTCTTGTCTTTGGCTTGGTACCATATATACCTACTTCTAAACCCTCATGAGTTTTGAAGCCGTCTGTGTACAAGGTGAATTCTGTATGAATAGGAGGTCCTCCCGTCCACGCTTCCCTGTCTGGTATACTTACTTTATATTGCTTTTAACCATACCTTGCGAGCATTTCATCTGGAAGCATTCCCATTAGTTGGTCATTGTCCAACTCTATATATAGCTCTCTGTAGTCGCGTCCATGCAAACTGCTTATGGGTAATTAACCTTTGTGTGGTTTGTATGTGTCAGGCTTGGCTTCGCCTTGAATGAATACATGTAGTGGTGTAAGGTTTAGCAAGACTTTTATAGCTCCCATGGTACTCAGGCATGCTTGCCTTTGAATACCATTGAGATCTCGAACGGCTCCAACTTGCTGAGTCTTTGGCCACCATACCACCGACCCGTAAGTTATCATCGGCCTTATGACTCTGGTATATAACCATAGGGACATTTTCGAT